TCTATTTTAAAAAAAATTTCTTACACCTTGATGGTGTATACGGCCCCCTTTAGAGGCTCGGAAATGGCACAGTCAGACGCTAAAAATGCTATTTCATAGCAGTGTTTCCCGACAAAATTATTGACTTCCTCCCGACGGGAGCTATGCTCCCCCGCCCATAGACGCTCCTCCTCCCATAGACACCCCTCCTCTCACAAGAGTCGCAAAGGTATAATTAAGGACGTATGGTCTGTTCTATACTGGGGAGTCGCAAAGTAAATTATGGTTATGACACCTAGATGCCCGGAAAGAAGAAAGCATTATAATTATAATTCTTTTTCGTATTGTTATTATTATTAATATTAATTAATTTTTAATTTATATTAGGCCTAAATAATAATAATAATACGAATTATTATTATTATTATTATTATTAAAAGAATAATAATAAATATACCATTCTGGCATTAATTAACTTCGTCTTAAGCCTTGTAACGTATCCACATTTACTAGGCTAATAACTATGCCAAGGTATGCCTATTATTAGTAATAATATACATTGTTTACGTCTAAATTAGCTTATAGACACCTCTCCTCTCACCAGCCTCGCAAAGGTATAATCAAGGACCTATGGTCAAAAATAATTTTTGAATCTTCACGCCAGAGTGGTTTGACTTTAGTACTGTACAACAAACTAGAAAATGCTTGATATAATCAATTTCGCCTTCCTGGCAAAAGTTGCAATTTTCATCTTTTACAATTCCTAATTTATTTAACAATACTCTAGTTGGATAACAGTTATGTCATATTTTCCAATTTGTACAAAACACACGAGGATCAGACTTAATGATTGATAGACTTTTCCAGATGTAGCTCTAGTTCAAATTGTTATTCATGAAATTCTTATTGCTGCGAAGCAGCCAATTCATATCCTTGACAGCAATTTGACCTTTGAAAGGTCATTGTTTGTCAAAAAACAAGGGCCTAAGATAAGATAAGATTTATTGGTTCTCTCTTTCATAACAGAGGAACACTCTTGCGCAGGTGAGGTTCGACCCGTACAACTGTTACAAAACAACAACTGACAATATATAAAAATGAATTATTGAAAAGATAAATGAGTAAAGAAAAAATACTGGACAAACAAAACAAATGTTACTCTCATTATTCTGTAGTAATTAAGGAATAACTTAATGTACAAAAAAAAATTTTAAAAATGACAAAAAATATAAGTTTATAAGTACAGTAAATAACATAAAAATTAAATATTGATGGTAATGTTTTTCATTAGTTCAGTTCTTTCAGTCATTGCTTTTATTAAATATGTTTTACAATGGTTATCAAATGTTACAAATTTCAATATTCTGGTATGCATCAAAAATATTATCTAAAAGTAAGTGGTGCCTAAATTCACATGAACCTTCTAATAAAATGTCCCAAAAGTACCTAACAATTTTACACAAGTCAGTTTTCAAATTTTCAAAACATGCATTTCTTATAGAGGATAGACCTTCACAATCAAATAGAAAATTTCGAATTCTCTTTTTTTGCAAATAATACAATGGCCCGAGTGCGTATCTGACCATACCCGTTTTCTGCCTTCAAGGTCTAGAACATTAGTTCTAGCTTTAAATGTGTACCTTTAAAATTCAATTTGTCCAAAAGGTAGTATTCTAAATTTGGTATTTTGTATTTAATGTAATCCTTCAGTGATGATTTTTTAGTTGCTTTTTGAAACCATTCTTTATTATTGTTATCTGAGATCATATTACTAAAAGATTTTATCCACTGAGTATTTTGTGGTTCCATATTA